ACAAAACTTCATTGTTTTGTCTGGCTGTTGGACCTTTGGAGTCTCTCCATTATATGAACAACTTTAATAACTTTCTTAAATCAACCCATTATCACAATGCAACACAAACTATTAAATCAGTTATGAGTGACAAAACTGATTTTCTTGGATATATTTCTACAAAGTGTATTCATCAAGGAGAAACTGATTCCAAGGAACCAGAAAACCATGCACGATCACAATTTCATGATAGTTTGACAGAGGTGGAGGTACCTAATCCCACCTAGATTGTGATAACTATACGTACTTTTAGTCAACAGACTCAACAGTACTGCAGTCAAGCCTCTGTCATGACCTGAGTTCAGTCCCAAGGGGTTCTGGCAGCTGGCTCAAGATGGGCTCAGCCTTCCTGCCTCCCACAGTCAATACAATGGGTAATCAGCTTACTGGGGGGACAAAGTTATTGTTTGCATAATTACAGTATGTTGTAAACCACCCAGGGAGTGTGTTTAGCACTACAGGGTGGTACAAAAGTCAAAACAACAACAGAGCAAGCAGTGCTCAATACAGGAAGGAGCAGCCGCTAGACATGCGATCTCCACACAAGCTACCTCGTTCTCCATTATATTTTTAGTTAGATTAAAAACAAATATAATCACAACCACACACAAACAGATACCCACATCATTCCCCAAAATATACACAATTTTATTAATGAAGTATTTCAAGGTCATAATCAAGACTGCTAATTCAATTAGTCTAATTAACTCAGGATATCCAATGGGGTGTAGTGGATTAAATGATGGACTAGGATTCAAGAAGCCTGGATTTGACTCCCCATTCAACCATGAAAAGCTCACCAGAAGTGCAGAACTGGTAAAACCACTCCTTCAATATCTCAATTACCTCATAAAGTTGTTATTAAGTCAGTTCTGCACTACTCATAACTTTCTCATTTTTTTACTTTTTAAATTTGCTTTTATTAAAGACATCAACATTGCCATCAGTGCAAAATCCCAAAATTTTCCAGCCCATTCTTATACTTCTGGAACTTTTGGTATTTCCTTGCATTTTCCCTATGCTAGCCTAACATCACATAACTACTTAATGTAATACACTCCTTTTGTATTCAGCGTTTGTGTCCATGTTGTTGCAAGGCTTCTCTATACATTGTGCTTCCTACTTCAGGGAAGAGAACTCAAGGAAACAAAACATGAAAGGCACACTTGTTAGAGTCTCTCATTTGGAGTTTAGGGCTGCTTTGTGTCAACAGAGCTAGCAGCAGTTCAGCCTCTGACAATCAGAAACATTGTGGGGAGCACAATTCCCCCTTTGGAAAGCAATCATATCTACACCTCTTATTCTATAAAAACTTTAGAAAGTTAGTGTTTATTTAAGAATTTCTGTGTGATACAGAAGATAATACTGGTTCCAGTCCTATCTAACTAATGCAGAAATGCAGAGAGCCATGGCTGCTCCCTTACCTTTCAAGAAGAAAAGCAATATGTCTCCTGTGTTGTTCTCCAGAGAGGGTTGAAAAAGAAATGTCAGCAGCAAGAAAGCGTCATCAGCTATCCAAAGAGTAGGTTGAAATGAAATCAGCCCAAGTCAGAGCAAGTAAAAAAAAAAGGTCTTGGAAACCAGAGGTGTCTCTACTCCACCTTCATCTTCTTCAGTCTATACTGACATGCACAGAGTTGCTCCGAACATTTTGCATACATGGATGCTACAAAAAGAGGACACTCCAATGTCACCTCGCCCTCTTCACCTCTCTGACTTGTCATGTGCAGTTTGGCGTCATCAAGTTACGAGTTTTCTTTGCCGTCTCCTGCTATATTACATGAAGGCTGGTAGGCAGTGGAAGACACATAATGAGCGAGAGGCAGGAGGGAGAAAAAATGGGAGAAAAAAAGACACAAGGCTTCGTCGACCAGTGGCAGCCACATATGTTCCATAACATCTAACTCTGGCCATAAAGTTTTTTCAGCATGTCAGTCTTTCATGAGTCTTTCTAGACTGACAGGCTGATGGAGACAAGCAGAAGATTCGGGGGGGAGGGGGCTGGGTCAAATTCTCACTGGCCAAGTTGGGTGGGGCATTCTGTATTTTTCCCAAACACGTCCAGATGCAGAATGGATTCACATGAAGCACATGACCTTGCCCTCGGTTTTGTGTCTCCTGGACAAACCATAAATACTAGGGGCCTTTTAATGTTGCTCTTAATGGTGCTGCTGAACAGACATTCGAAGGACGCCAGCACATGATTTTACAGAAGAGGTAATTCAGCTCTGTATTCATATTCCGAAAAGTGAGAACTGTAATTCTAATGTGGGACAGGAACTGCTGTTAGGTATGGGCTGACTGCAGCATCCATTTGCAATATGTTGAGGAGCACATATTCCATGGGCAGATACACCTCCCAACATATCGCTTTAATTCAAAATTGCCGGGTGTCTTTTTATCTCTTAGGAACCATCATTAACATGACTTAGTTTTTACTCAATATCATTTCACCCTTTATACAATTCTGACACAAAATTCACTGCCAGCTTCCAAGGTATAGCACACTGTACTGCAGGAATGGGTCATTTTTAATGACAAGGACACATTCCTTCATGGTTGACTGGGGAGGGGACTGATGCCAGTTTTGGCCAAGGTCAGAAAAAGGGATCCCATCTCTTCTCTTTCTCTGCCACCTCTTCCTCTCTTCCACTCTTTCTCTCTGCTGTTCCTTTCTCTCTCCCATTCTCCCTAACCAACAGGCTGCTTCGGATGGGACAGCTCATTCTCACACAGAACTGATACTGTGCAAAATGATTTTCCAATCAAACCAAACGTGAGATCATGCTAGGGTCTATTTGGAGCCACCGGATCACAGCTTGTCTACCACAGGGGCCGTGGCTACCATGCTGTACGGTATTTGATCTAGAGAGACTTGAATTCAGAGCCTTGCTCGGCCACTAGGTCAGCTGCATAGCCTTGAGCCAGTTGCCATATTTCAGCTTCATCTGCCTCACAGCAAGAATGTAAGGTCCTATGCCATCCTGAACAGCAGGAAAGATGGCATGACCAATAACAGCTCCTATGCATAAAATGGTATGACGATTAAAGAAACAACAGCAGAATCCACAGATGTCATGGAAAGTGTTCCTAGGTATATTTCCAAGAATACTGAATTACTACAGAATTCTTTCTTATCCAGCAGACGTTTTTTCTATTAATTTAAACAGTCATTTCTCACCTTTCCTCTGAGAAGCTCAGGGTGGAGTTTGGCACATTGTTTACCCCACTCTACTTCATCCTCACAACAGCCTTGTGAGGCAGATTTGAGTGGGAAGGTATTTACACATTGAAAGTCACCTGGCAAACATGATAGTGGAATGCAAAGTGGAATTCAAGTCCTCTACTAAGATAATTCATGCACAGTCTCACACATGATGTCAAGACTGAAGAATAGAACATGTTGCACTATACATAATTCTGGAAAAAGTATGGCAAGACCTTGATCCCGGTGGTTTCTGTTTTTTACAAGCCACCCAGTTCCTGCTCAGCCTTGACTCATGAGAACAGGAAAGGAAACAATGAGTTCCACAACAGAGATAGGGACAGAACAGCAGACAATTTTATTATTAAATCATTGTTACTATCACCATCCTCTTATGCCTTTTCTCCTCACAATAATTTTTTTCCTGAGGCCCCAGTTTTTCTGACAGCATGGACTCCATCTCAGAAATGAGGAACATTCCTCAAACAAGATAGATTTGCATACATTTTTTTGTTTTTTGCCCGGCTGATGGCTTTCATTAAGCTGTCATACATAGCCGAGGTTACTCTCGGTCATTTCTGGCAAGTTGGAGTTGCTGTCTGTGTCTTTCTTTTTCTCCTCGGCAGCTTTTCTCTTTACCTCAACAGCCCCAACTGGAGGCACCTTCTGATAAAGCAGCAGCAGAAAAAAAAGAATGTGTGAGGAGAAAAACAGACCCCTTCTAATGTAGTTACTCGCAAAAATACTTATTTGTTCCTCTCTCTCACACACACAAAAAGAGCTGCCAAGACATTTTTCAGTCTTCTGCTGAGAAAAATGGTTAACACTCTTCACATCCCTCCAGCAACTTCAGTATAATGGTGGTGTTAAAAAAAAGCCTCTGGAGTGTTTACTAGGGGAAAAAGGAGGAATAACAAAAGAGACAAAGAAATAATGCAGCAAAAAATAATAATAAAATTAAATATTGACAGTGCAAAGGTATTCTTCTGCCAGCTCCCCTAACATTTCTGTTCTTCACCAAGTATGCCAGCTTTGTTTCCCCGCTTTCTTTGTTTTCTCTATGGGAAATCAGCCTCAGAAGTTCCCCCTCTGCTCAGCATCTGCCGTTCTACATCCCCATGCAACGGTCAATTACACAATAACAAAAGAGGGACTTACAGCTGATTTATTGCTCCCCGTGGAAGGAAATGCTCTGCTCTCTGCCGGTCCCAGGTTGTCCCCAAAATCGTCAACCAGCCCTAGGAAAAACGCCTGCCTCTGCCAGTCAGTGCTGGTAATACCGGACTAGATACAGGAGCGCCCTCGGGTTCTCAGAGCGGGCTCTCCAAGAAGCCCAGCCACCCTGCCTTCTTCTGCTACGGAGGCGTCGGGCGGAAGGCAGGAGGGGGAAAGGAAGCTGCCCTCTGCACATTCTCAGAGGTCTGCTTTCCTAGTCTGGCTTTAATTTTTTCGCACAGGCAGATTAGTAGGAAAGGGGGGGGGCTGAGCTCCTGGGTCGCCTTCGATGCCAGTCGAGCGGCGGCTTTCCAAAAACACTGCCGTCGACGACCTCGGCTCAGTCAGGACATGATAAGGACACGCTCCGAGGCTGGAGTAGCGGAACGAAAGGGAAGGAAAACTTCAAGCCAATCTCAATAGGGACATTGATCTCCATAGGAAGGCATCACATAAATCCGAAATCCGTTCCTCTTACACGCACACAAACCCTCCCCACTGGGTTACGCACACATACACACACACAACAAGAGCCCCTTACCTCTTCGCCAGCTTGGCCAGGGGGGTCAGCCTTTCTTTCCACTTCGAGCAAGAGTTCACAGAATCCCAAAGCCGAATCCAGGCAGCCCTTCCGCGGGATGGGATGAGAGGGTTGCTCGGTCCACCAGCCGCCTGTCCCTGCGCGCTCCCCCTACTGAGGCGCAAGTAAAACACCGGATTTTTTTTTTTTTTTGAACCCGGAGCTCCTTACATAGATCCCGCCGGGGGCTGTGCAACCGAGGTTATTATCGGTCAACCGCGGCTTCCTTTCTGCCGCCGTCTGCCGCGGCTCTGTTTATGTATTTCAGGCACTCGCCGCGAGCACGTGGAGGCCGAGCCCGCCTCTAAAAAGGGCCACGGCGGCGGGCGCAGCTGGTCCAGCTTTCCGAAACCAGTCCAAGGTGCTGAGTGGGCATTTTCAGGCCAACAGGACGCGCGTGGGTTTTCTCGGCTATGCCTTGGACACTAGGCTGTGTCTGAGCCACTCGTTTTCCTTCAGAATATGTCTGAAGGATATTAGTCGGATGGACACCACATCCTGGGGAATGTCCCCCCCCCCCCCAATTGCTCACTGCTTTTGGGCTGTGTCCCAGGGAAGTGAGTCCTCCTGTATCCAATTCAAAAGAAGTATGTACTCATTTCCCCCAGAGAGCCAGCACAATTTTCTTGGGCTGGCTCTCTCAGAGAGAACAACAAAGGGTGCCTAGTTCCCCCCCCCCCACTTCCAACAGCAAGCTTCATAGTAATAGCCAAGCCATATTATTTGGGCTCCTAAAGGAGAAAATCTCATAAACTCCTCTCCCCGGGTATAAAAATGCAATGAAAATAAAACTCTGTAAGCAACTACAGTATTGTACTTGCCCCCCTGTTGCAATACTGATAATAAGCTCCTTGGGTTGCAACAGTGGCATTAGCACAAGGGAGAGGGAGGCAAACGCGGAAGGGTATGGAACAGGATGAGGCATTGGAGGACAGAGTTGTGTGCCATATAAGCTTACCTCATATTCTCCAAGGAATTCTACTGTCCTCAGCTATGGTGGAAGATGCTTTCCTGTCTCCACATTGAAGCAAGATCCAATGGTCAGCCCAACTGACTTCTTGTTCAGAGAATGGGAAAAGAGAGACACCATGTATTCTATCATCTAAGGCAGCTGTGGTGCCTCAGCTCTGCTGTGGTAAGTCAGCCCCCATATCATTCTGCCTAATGATATGGATCTGTATGGGCAATGGAAGGACAGAGGCAAATATGGCAGGAAATAGTCCCAGGGTGTAAAATTAAGTATTGGGACTCGACTCACATTTTCATATTGGAAACATAATGAGTAAGTTCAACTAAAAGGTTTGAGACATAAATTACACATGGAACCGTGGTATAGAAAGGCAGTATCCATCTAAGTACCAAATTCTGAAGGTAAACTATTTATTTATTTATTTATTTATTTATTTGGTTAATTAGTAGCGGTGAGGTACAGGGAGATTTTGGGTGAGACAAAATGAGTAGACATGGTCTAGAGGGGCGGGGTATAAATTTAATAAATAAATAAATGATAAAGCCAGGCAAATTTGAACAAGAAGATATGAATCCTAGCAGATTTTGGAAGGCCTCACTTTACACGGTATGGGGTAAACGAATTGGGGAAATAACAAAATACAGTACTAAAAATACCTATTTGCCCCCACAGCATACTTGATTTATTCAACAAAATAACCTTGTGGGGAGGGGAATCTCCAAATTAGCAGGTACATTTTAGTTGTACTACAAGAAAAATAAGCTATCATTTCCTTCCATTGCTTATGATGAGCTCCTGGAGGCATCCAGGTAGTGGCAATCAAGAAAAAAACAAAAACAAATCACTACCACCCCACACCAGAATGTTTGACACAATTAATCTTGGCCTTGTCCACCTGGCTGTGTAGGTATTGTATTACTTACCATTTAGCAAACAAGACAGATGCACAACAGTTTCAGTTACATGTTTCAGCATGTATTATTTCTATTTCTGCCTCCTCTCTTTTTGTGCAAGTATATTGCAGATTTTGGATTGCACAAATGTAGCCCCCTGAATGTTTGCGCACTTTATCATTCCGTCTCAAGTCTTGGAAATAATGCTTTTTTAAAAAAGACTACAACTCCCAGAATCCCTCAGGCAGCATGGCCAGTGACTATGCTGGTTGATGGGTTCTGGGTCATAATAAAAAAAAATAACTTTTCCAATCTTTTTCATGACTGCACTTAAGAATCAGCATTAAAAGGTTCCCTGGCTGCCATGTAATGGCTGCCTCCTGAGGGTCCTTGAAGGCAAATTTCAGTTTGCTGTTAGCAGCCATGCTGAGTGCGTTGGATTCTCTACGTGATGGCCTTATCACAAAGCTCAGAGTTGCCTGTCATCTTACTCAGCTCACACTTTTTAAAATCCAAACAATCTGGATGGATTTAGATGACACCAACAGCCTTTTGATTTGGTGCCAGTCCCTGACACAAAATAATATGCCTGTAAAATCTGAAGCTGAATCGAAAACAATTGACTCCATTCTTCAAGTGGCACATGCAAGCCTTGCAGAACAGCTGTCACTCATAAACTGGCAGAGCACACTCTTGTTTATTAGAAGAAACTGATTCAGGGTTTTCTGGATGCCCAAAGTTCTCACAGATCTGCTTGCTACAGCTCTGCATGATTAACTGTTCTGGCCTTGCTTCTTCTCAATTAGCTTTCACTGCACACAGGTAACTTCTGCATTAGAAATTATTGTTTCAGTCCAGTCCTTCCCCATGTTAAGGCATAGCTATCTTACTCATTTGACCAATGAGACTGATGTGATACAGAAAAATTAGTTTACTCTTAACCTTGTATAGAGTAAACCAGAGGGATGGAGCCTATGATCCTCTAAGACCAGTGGATCTTAAGCTTAGGTAACCCATATGTTCTTTTACTAAAACTCAGCTGTGCTATCTGGAGTTTCTAAGATTTGCAGTCCAAGAACATTTGGGGACCCAAGGTTGAGAACCACTGCTGTAAACGCTGGACTACAACACCCCTCAGTTCTGGCTAACTTTAGCAGTGATGATCTGTCTGGTAACCAGGATTCTTCTCTAGTAATTCATTTATTTTGAAGAAAAGGTGGCCACCAACAGAACAACACTTCAAGAGTATAATGGAGGTTTACGAGAGGTCTTGTTTATATTGGCTCCTGAGAGACAAAGCTTCATTGCTGATGAAATGGCATCTCTTTTATGGAGAAATAATTAGTGCTGTTGCATCTCCAGTAATGAAAACCCAGCATTTATAATTAATTTCTGAATGCATAACAAGAAATACAAGTGAAGTTAATGAAGTGATGCAAGGGGTGTTCATACATGCAGAACTAAATGTTGGAGTAAGTACGCCATTGTCAAGAGTATAGTATTGGCTTGGGTGATATATAGTGCACACAAACAGGTGATTTAACTATAAATATAACAAAGTTCAAAACACATAGGCACCAAAGCTATCCAATTATCATAAAACTATGGCTACACTGCCCATTTTAAAACATTATAAAATCATCAGCAATTGAAATTAATGTAAAAGGCTGTAACTTCAAATTCTTATGGAAAAATGAGGTCTTAGCTGCCTGCTAAAAAGTGTTAGACTAAATATTTCCTTGCCAAAACGTTCTACTAACCTCAGTGCCACCACAAAGGAGACCATGACCGTCACACAGGAACACACAGAAGACATCAGGGTGAAACCATTATGCTGAGCTGTAACCCATGGACTTTATTAACAAGGAACTCCAGCTCCGCTGACAGGGTGCGCACAAACTCTCAGAAACCCTGGACAGCACAGTTGCTAGTGAAGGCTGCAGTCCAAAAATACTTGGGTTACCCTACATTGGGAACCACTGTTGTAGACCATGACTGCTACCACTGATGCCATCAACATTCTGGCAGCCTCATGTAGTGCTTGCCATCCTTTTTCCTACTGACAATGTGGGCACCATATTGTGGAGCAATAGTGGGTCATTTCAGATTGTCAGTACAGAAGCACAATATCCTAGATGTTTGACTGACATCAGTTTTTATTAGAGTGATAGCAGCAGTTCCTTCTCCCTTTGTCCCCACAGTCCCACAGGGCTGAAATTACTTGCCAGCTTGTGGGCCCAGTTCATTTCATTGGAATTCTCCCAGAGTCCATGTTCTGGAAGACAGGAAGGAGGAAAGAACTGAGGCACGGAACACAGCCCTTTAAGAGGAGGTTTGTATAAAAAAACAGAATAACTCAGCCTCTATTGGTTGTCTCTTCTGGTTCCTCCCCTCACATGCTTTTCCAAAGCTGTGGCAGCATCCAGGCTAACAAAGGCTTGTCTAAGCACATGACTGGACTTGCCAGTACCAAGCTGCTATTGTCAATCAAGAAACCTAGTGAGGGTATAAACCTTCTGGCTTGGTCTCACCCATCCTCTTCTTCCAAGAGAGGCAGCAACCCCTTGCTTTCCCCAATCCCCTCTTTTATTCCCCTTGGCCCCGCCTCCCTCTCATCAAGATGTCTGTCCTTCAGCTGCAGAAATTTCCTCCAGCTGGCCTGATCCTGAAGAAACTCAGCCTCAACAAACCTGGGAAAACTAGTATTAAATTTTTGTATTAACTTTCTTTTTGTTCATCACTTCCATTAATGTTAAATGAAAGTAGGAAAGGATTATACAAGGAGCTCAATGAATCTTGTTCTTCTGATTTGTGCACCCCAAACACATTAAACTATTTATTTACATCTCATTTTCCCCCCAGTGTGAGCTCAAGGCAGTTTTCATGTCTCTCTGCTTCCTCACTTTCTCTTCACAACAACCCCACAGGGTAAGGTCAGGCTCAAAGAGAGCAACAGACTCAAAGTTACCCAGTGTGTTTCACAGTCCTGCTGAGACTTAAACCTTGATTCCTCATGTCCCAGCCAAACACTCTTCACCACTGCATGAAAAAAGTGGTGACACTGGTGGGAGCTATCCTGAAATGTATCTGAATAACAGCAGGTTAGGGAAGGTTGGCCTGGAGCAGACTCTAGTTAAGATTAAGAGCACAGAGGAAAATTCTCTCTCTCTCTCTCTTGCTTACTTTTGGTCCTCTTTAAATTAGTATTGGGAAGAGTGACAAATTTAGTCCTCTTGAGACTGGAGCTCTCAAGAGGCCATTTACAATGTTAAAGAATCTCTAATCACTTCATTAAAATCCTAAGTAGATTCCAGAACAGAATTCCCAAAGGCGAGAAACAACTGAGCATCTAAACAAGAGCACTTCACAAGAGATTTCCCTATAATTCATTTTTTCCAAATCACATATATTTTCTTTTGGTAGCCAAAGTTTTAAAAAATGCAGTTGCAAATGGGGGTAAGGGTGGTGAGTCCCCTATTTTAAATAGAAGAAAGGTTAATTTTGCAAACTGTTAAATTCATAGGGTCCACTCGATGTACCAGCTCTGCCAGCAACATACCTGTGCTTTTTGACACATAAGGAGAGTAAAAGCTTCAAATAATCTGAGTTTTGCATGGTAGTTTTATTCTTCACTCATTTGAGAGCTAAACTCTATTTACAGTTGAGTTGGTGAGTTACGCCTGGATTGAGCTTTCAAATTGAGTAGAGTACAGAAAAATTACCCTTTTTTTGGCTGGAGGATTTTGGGAGTTGTTATCCCAAAATGTAAAGCATGGGTGGGGGTGGGAAATTGCCTCAGACACAGATATTGAGAGGTAGTGGAAAGGCAGAGCCATATGTGCCCTGCACCCTGCTCTGTGCTCCATAAATTACCTTTCCGCTGCCCTCTGGTATGGGAGTGGAGGATACTGTGGTCTTCCCATTGTTGAAGGAAATGTCATCTGCCAGTTTCCAGGTAACACCAACTGTGTCAAGCTGGTGCCCAAGGTCGATAATAACCAGAAATGGAAACATGGTGATCAAGTGAGAACATATTTTACAGCAGTGCTTCCCAGCCTTGGGTGACCCATTGTTCTTGGACTGCAATTCCCAGAAACCTTCACCACAGGTTGTGCTGGCCAGGGTTTCTGGGAGCTGCAGTCCAAGAACACCTGGTGTATCCAAGGTTGAGAACCACTGTTCTAGAGCAATACAATCCAGGAAAATTATTGGTCTGTTATGTAAATGGATTTTTATTTTCCTCATATCATTTTAATTAAATAAAAATAAGGATTTTAAAATACAGTATCTTAGAAATTTTTATGCACCACCATAATCTTTCTGAGAAAAAAATATGGAAGAGGAAATAGTGGAGAATCAAAGGGTGAAAGACTAGAACAAAGAGCAGAAAGTAGAAAGATTTTTGTGTGCAGGGGTGTTCATTGGTTTGTTCTGGTGTGGCAGGGGTTTTTTCCCTCTGTGTCGCCTATTTGTTTTTTGTTTTGTTTTTGTTTTGCTTTGCTTTGTTTTGAGTGTGTTGACAGGATGTAAATTTGGGTGTTTTGTCCATCTCTGCATGTAAAAGGTAAAAAGGTTCCCCTTGACATTTTTAGTCCAGTCGTGTCCAACTCTAGGGGGTGGTACTCATCCCGTTTTTCAAGCCGTAGAGCCAGCACTTGTCCGAAGACAGTTTCCATTGTCATGTGGCCAGCATGACTAAGGAGTGCCGTTTTACCTGCCCACTGAGGTGGTACCCATTTATCTACTCGCATTTAAATGCTTTTGAACTGCTAGGTTGGCGAGGAGCTGGGACAAAGCAATGGGAGCTCACTCCATCACGTGGATTACGACTGCTGGTCTTCTGACCTTGCAGGACAGAGGCTTCTGGGGTTTAGCCCACGGCGCCACCACGTCTTTTAGCCTATGTATGCATGCAGGCTTGTATGTATTTGCATATGCCTTCTGCAAAACAAGCAAAATGTATTTTTTTGAAGACATATACTTGATTTGGCATTGAGAGTTCAGACCCTCCCAGCCTCCATGCTTTGTATTCCATTTCTTGGCCAAATTACTTGTCTCTGGGCCCCATCGGATTGCTTTTCGTGAAGTGAATGTTGGCAGAGAAAGCAGCCCACAAAAGTGTTTCTGTGTTTGTAGTTCAGTTACTACTTCTGTTCTGCCTTAGATCCTCAGCCAAGTTACTTTTCTTTCAGTTTCACCATTTTGCCCTATGTGAAATGGTTGCTTTGCCACTGGATACAAAAAAATGTGGTAGCCAATTTCTAAGAGTCTGTCCACAGTGGCATATAGTTATGATATATGTTTCCTTGATAGCACTGTTTGGAATAGAAATAAAGACCTTGCCTACTTGTGTTTCTAGTTAAAACAATTCATCCTTTCCCTTTAAAAGCTGACCCATATCTTCCTGGCCCAGGGCTGGGTTGTGCAATTTTGGGGGACAATTCATTGAGATGCAAAATAGCTCTTCGTGGATAGGTACCAAGAGATCAAATCGATTGCATTGAAGATAAAGACCTTCTAAGTGCTGGCAGGATCGCACCAAATTTCCCACTGTGGACAGGTCTGGTATTCCAAATGTTCCTACTGCTCTTCAAAGGTCGAGAACCCCTCCTGGGTTCTATACAGAAAGGATTAGAAACCGACTTTCCACAAAGAAATATGAAAGGTGAACTTTCAGGGAAGGGACCCAGGGAAGCCCTTGATATTGCTAGGTCACCACAAATCAGACTGATTTTATATATTTATGTTCAGTTTTGTTCTCCCTTTGTTGCTTCCAACACAGCCTATGATGTTTTTCACAATATGTTTTTGCAATAAAGCTGCAATGTGTGCATACTTGTCATCTTGCCATGAAACCTCTTGAAACAAACTTAGCATTCAAGAAATATAAATGGAAAGGTTGATTCCCCTATAATTCATACCAGCCACAAGTTTAGGTTGCAATCCTGTATGCCGTTAGGCTATTTAAATCCCATTGGGATTTAACCAGTCCAGCTGTGCGCTGGAGTGTAGCCTCAGGAGTTCAATTTCAAGTAAAGAACTTGTGAATAATAACTTATCTTTGTATTGTTAGTGCTCTCTGTTATGGTTCTCTTTTCTGTTGCCATGGAGACGGTTTCAAGCAGTGGTGCTCTCCTGTTCTACAATCAACGTCTGAGGCCTTATTCCTTTCTGTTGCTTTGTTGCTCTCACTAGTAGCCACAGAATATCCACTCATGATCTCAGCTTGCCATCTTTTCTGATTTGTACTAACTATGCTTAAAAAAAAAACACTCTACCAGCATTCTAATACACCAGGATATGTGGCCCAATATGTTTTGACAACAAATAGTGCAAGAGTGCACCACAGACATCATTGGTGAGTTTATAATACTCAAGGCTGGCCAAGTTGTTTTGGAAGCTGAGGAAGAAAATAACACAGGCACCTTTCTCCCATCCTGGAAGCAAAACACCTGTTAAATGAAAGTCTGCTTCTGCTTTTTCATGACATTAAAATCTACTAGTACACAGATTTCAGGTCAACTAAGGCCCATATATACAATGAAGCAATAATAACTGTATCCTTATGACTGATATTTGTTTGTTCTTTTAAATGCAGTATTTTGCAGACACCTGTTTAGAGAGGGGCATGCACCAGTTGCTTTCCCTCAAGTCATTTTTCTGCATCTTCTATTCCCGTCAACTTTTGTCTGCCCTGTTTTAAAGAGACCTGAAAATCTGCAAGCTTCCAGAGGTAAGAGAAGTTCCTGCTATGATACTCATAGACAATTAAGGATCTTCTATTTCAAACATTAGATGATCTCTAGAATGTCTGCCTCTTACCTTAATTGTATAGGCTATTGTACTCCAGACAGATCATGAGAAAGCAAGAGGAAAGAGACAGTCATTCTAGGAGGTGAATGCAGTAGGAGAAAAAGACATCAAATGTGGTGGTTTTCATCAATAAGAGAAGCACAGCCCAAGGGAAACCATTAATGATGGGATCTTCTGAAGGTCATTACTTAATAGGCTGGTTGTACATCAGGAGTCACTTAGTGATAAATAACAGCAATCGTGTATGTTTCCCAATTGAGTATGGGCTAAGTTTTAGTTTTGCTTCTTTCCCAAAAAAATTCAGAAAAGAGGCCCAGGTCATTATGAAGAACATAAAGGGTCAACACAGGGCTCTCCAGTTGTTGATGAATTGGCTAAACTGACTAGAACTGCTAAAAATTGTTGCAACTATATCTGAAGAGCCACAATTGCCCATCACTGATCAGGAGTCAATTCAAGTGCAGTTTGCAGTCTCTACAAAGACAAAAAAAAAAACTTGTAACTCTACCCACACACACCCCACTGTGACTCTCCTCTTAATGGAACTGAACTAGGTCACCAATGCAGTCTAAGCAGGTACTCACAGCAGGCAGAAGGAGCCTGGCATCACAATGCCACCACAATTGGTTTTCTTTCTTTCTTTGTTTTTAGGTGTCTGCCAAAACTGGTGCCTCAGCTGCTGTCTTTCTCGATTTAAACACTCATGGTAACTGAGATGAGCAAACATAGA